CTTTTTTGTTTGTTTTGTAGGAATATTAAAAATTTATTTTTGCCTCATGGTTGCCTGCACAACTTCCCTGTGCAAATCTCAAAGTTTTCTTTTTTGGCTGAAAGTGTTAAACGTAATTGTCATCTTGTGTGGAGTTTTATAACATGGACTTCTGTTTTATAATCTAGTACAAAGCATTCCATTTGTTTTATACAGACATTCACAAAATGGGGAATGTCTTCTCTTTACCTTTATGAATAATTGTTGCTTCTCTTTACCTTTATGAATAATTAAAGCATATTCTCCCACCTCCACTGTATTTTTCCTTCCCATTCTATTCTTTTAAAAAATAATTTTCTAAATACTAACTTATGTCATTTCCACTTTAGATACTAATCTGTACCACAAATTGAAAAAAATATTAGTCCAAAGTTAATGTTTAAAAGACATTTGGAAAAAGGTTGTCCTTCATACAGACAGAAAAATGGGAACTGCATCCCTCTCAGGGAGGGAGGTTTTCCACAAAGCTGAAAAGAAAAAAAATTGAATTTTTGTCTGCAGCCAGACTGTTAGTGTGGAGGTGAGGAATTGTTTGGTCACAGGCTCTTTAGTACTGCAGCTCAGATTTCACCTGCCTAAAAGGCATTTTTGCCTTCATATCCAACCACTTCATTCCTATCAAGAAGCTCTTTGGCTTGTCCATATAGTGTTGGATCACTGTTCAGGTCTGAAGTTGCAGAATAGCTTCCAGATTCATCTTCAAACAACACCAGTTGGGCTGTTCGTTGTTTTCACTCTTCAGCAGTTTTTTGTCTAGGCAATTTAGTTCTTTGAATGTGAGCAGACATTAAACAAAACTCTAAAAAAGTTCTCAATAAACAGGACTTTGCCTTTCAGCCAGATTGTTATGCTGGAATAAAGTCTTTGACCAAAAAAGGCAGACCAGACTAATAGATTTCCCTGATTAGGCTTTTAAAACTGCATATTAGTATTTTTGGAGCTTGATTGTAGTGTGATCACAGAATCATTATCTATTATTTAGGAAGAAAATAATGTTGATGATTAGAGAAAATGAAGTAGGATTTAATTAATCTTTGATTCTAGTCATTAAAAAATACTGTTTCAGGAGCAAGGTGCTTTTGATTGACTCTGTGGGAAGCCATCGTATTAGGCACAAAGATTTGAGAGCCAAGCTTAATGCCATTATATGCTGTCATCTCATCCAAACTTGCTTGTCTTTCATTAAAGCAAACTGTTTAGGCTGTAGGCATTTAAAAAAACCAAAACCACCACCACCACCAAAGAACCCATCTTTTATAGACATATAGTCTTTCAGAAGAACATGCTTTACAGATAACTATGCATGTACTCTATGTAAACTGATATAAGAGATATTAGTTCATGTTAATATCTGAGAGAAATATTACCCCTAGAAATTAACAGTATTTAATATTAGTTTCTGTGGCTCTCTTTTTTAGTTCAATTGGACTTTGAGGTAAGTGTAATCTTTCATCAATGTATTTATGAGTATTCTCTCTCTAAAATCACTTCAGCATGTGAAGTGTTTTTAACAGGAAGATCATAGGATCGTAGGATGGTCTGGGTTGGAAAGATGCTTTAAAGATCATCTATTTCCAACTACCCTGCCTTGGCCAGGGACACCTTTCACTAGACTAGGTTGCTCAAAGTCCCATCCAACCTGGAATGGGGCATCCATGACTTCTCTGGGCAACATGTCCTAATGCCTCACCACCATCCCAGTAAAGAATTTCTTCCTTACATCTAATCTGAACCTCTCCTCTTTTAGTTTAAAACTGTACCCCTTGTCTTGTCACTATGTGCCTATGTAAAAAGTCACTCTCCTTCTTTTTTATAAGGCCCCTGTAAGTTCTGAAAGACTGCAAATATACAGTACTCAGAAGACAAAAAAAGGACAGGTACTGTTAATTGACTGAATTTTTTAAAGCAGCATTTTCTCTAGATGACTTATAGTTTTGGAAGCTGGAACACCGTACCTGGGTGCACAATCCTGAATGGCCATAGCTGAATGAATGCTGTTCCACACAATGCAAAAAAGTTGCAGAAACTTTAGTGTTTATTTTAACTTATTGGTATTCTTTATGGCCACTCGGTGATTGTGAAGTAGGCTGTCCTGCCTGTGACTTGTAAAGACACATATTTTAGTGATAGTGGAAAGTATCTTCCTCTTACATGCAGCTCGTGTTTCTGATTTTCATCCTCAGTATCCATCTTCCAGCAGAGGCCACAAAGATGACAAGGGATCTGGAGCATCTCTCTTATGAGGAGAGACTGCAGGAGCTGGGCCTGTTTAGTCAAGAGAAGAGAAGACTGAGAGGGGATCTCATCGGTGCATATAAATATCTCAAGGGCGGGTGCCAAGAGGATGGTGCCAGACCCTTTTCAGTGGTGCCCAGTGACAGGACAAGGAGCAATGGCCACAAACTAAAACACAAGTTGCACCTCAACATGTCCTTCACACTGAGGGTGGCAGAGCACTGGAACAAGCTGCCCAGGGACATGTGGAGTCTCCCTCTCTGGAGACATTCAGAACTGACCTGGATGAGTTCCTGTGTCACCTGCTCCAGGTGACCCTGCCTTGGCAGGAGGGTTGGACTGGATGATCTTCTAGAGGTCCCTTTCAATCCTAATAATTCTGCTATTCTGTGATTTTTGTGAATGCATCATTATATGTAAACTAAGGGGTTTGTCATACAATGAATTTATTTTCTGATATGCTTCTGGGTTACTTTCTATAACAACCTGCTTCTTGCTTATGTCAATATTTTTGATGAATCAAAGACTGAAATTTGTGAGTCCCAACTCTCTGAGATATGTTTTTGACCTTGATTAATAATTTGGAAGATGAAAATGGATTTTAAGATCTTAACAGTGGGTGCCCTGGCAATTAAAAGCATGTCTAAGATTTTTTTTAACTTAATATTATTTAAGACTGTATAGATGTAGGGCAGTTCTATCTGATTTCTAGTGACCAAAAAAAAAAAAGGAAAAACATTAAAGAAATGCCTTTATCTAATCGTCTTGGTTTTTACTCTTCTATTGCTTCTTTTCATCTTTGAAAGCTATCTTTTTCTTTAAATAACTGGAAGAAAACCCCAAGTAAACTTCTGATCTGTTTCAGAAAGGTTTGGATAAGGCTTTTTAGTATAAGTAAATTCTTTGTTTTGCACACTTGGATGCTTGGCAGATGAATGTTTTAAGTTTCAAAGTAACTGAAGATGCCATTTTGCACAAGCAAGAAATTTTTTTCAAAGACTGAGTACCAGCAAGCACAAAATAGTCCATTCTCAAAAAGTAAAATTTAGAATAACTAGTCTTGCTGTTGCTTAGTTTGCTTGTATAATAAAAGTGGAGGTGTTGTTGAGCATTTGACAAATTCCTCAGTATATGTGATGGTATACTCCCCTTCTGTGTTGAGTACCTGTCATGTTGTTTAGTTATGAGAGGGGGAATCAGTTCAGCTTTGCACATCAATGCTCCTTTGATCCAAATTCTCCTTTGGTTTTTCTTCCTTGTTATCCAGGGTATTGATATACAGTAAAGTTAAGTTACAAACCACTGTTCTCCCTCCTGTAAAGTAAAAATAAACTCTTTTTTCTTGGTTCCCATTTTATTTCTCTAATTGGCTCTCTATTGCTTTGTGTTCATTCTTCCTTATTTCATAGGATACATTAAATACCTGCTGTGATTTTCTTAAGAAGGTATTAAGGCACTCTAATAGGAATTTCTTTTCTGTCTCAATTTGGTGGCTGCCATGTTGTGATGCTGTTCTTCCCTCCCCCACTGATGGAAACATGAGTGGATTAATCTAGCCCCAAATTGCTGTATAGAAACCCTTTGCTCTTAAGTCAAAAAAGTCAGTGCAAGTCTGTGAATTGTTTTATGAAAATACTGGATCAAGTTTCAAGCTTCGAGTCCCTGCTGATACATTAAATTCTTTATGGTATTGGCAGGGAAGAAGGAGGGGACCTTTCTTTAGCTAGATAAATAAGAGAAGCGTCAACTCCAGATGCCTTGAGGGAGAGACTCCAGACAAGCTTTTAGTACAATTACAGAAGGACAAAGTGGAAGAGACCCATGGGACTCCTGTGTGTATTGAATGTCATTTAGCTTTTTAGTACAACAGAGAAAAGCTCTATAGGAGTGTTTAAAGTAGATATGTTTGTAGTCTTTTGTGTATAAATATAAGTATATGGCACTTTTTAAAATATATATATATGCGTGTATATATATACTGTGGTGTTGTAGGAAATGGTATTGGCAGAGGGTACTAAAGCTAAAAAAAAAAAAAGAAGTACCTTTCTTTCAATGCCCACAGCACATGGAAGAAAAGTCAAGACCCTTCCTTAAGACTTCCCTAACATTTGAAGTAAGTGGACTCATGTGGGACTGGTACACAGCTCAGCAGCATGGATAGCTTAGTTTCGGTGCTGTCTAGGCATCAGCAGGGTTGTATGTGCAGGAGGGAATTTTGTTTGTTCACCTGATTTTCTCTACAATTAATGATTTGTCTTATCTTCCCTTCCCTCAGGTATTCTTTACATAAAAACATATAAAATAATAGAATAAAATTCAAAGTCATTATTATTTCCAGTTTGTGGATGGATATGGTAATTATGTCTGCATAACCTTCCTACTTTCTTTGTATAAATAAGGATATTTGTTGTATTTTAATTTTTAGCCAACCCATATTGCTTATCCTTTTAATATTTCAGTGACTTTAATTCAGATTTGTTAAGACCATTTCTTTCAAAGCACAGTGCTTTCTGATCACATACTCTGCATTATAAATCTTCCCTTTTTGATATTCTTTAAGTTACATAATGGAGTTGGAAATCCATTATTATCATATGCAGTGTATCCTCTCTGTGCCTTCTTATTTATGGAATTGGTTATACTATGCATTTTAAATGGAAGCCTTTATTAAGTAATGTCAGCAATTTTGCTGAGCAGAATACTTTTGGAACCCATCACTGTCCTTTTCTGTAGAGATCAGACTTTTTTTTCCTTATCTGAATAGTTTCTTTTTACATAAACTATAAGCATTCTGTTATTTGAAATTTATTTCTTCTGCACCTTTTCTCCATTTTCATTCTAGGAAGTTTCTCTGGTTCTCATTCACGTTCTTCATCTGTTTCACCCAGGGTGACACAGTGTTTCAGCGCTGGCCACATGGTACTACCTAGGTTTGAGGTGGTTTCCACTGTTGCCTGTATCAAGGGATTGTGTATGTGTGCATATGCGTGTGTGTAACAGAACTGGAAATAGTGTAAATATTTATTTACATATAAAGTGTTTTGGTTTGGTGTGTGGTGTTTGAAAGCACCTCTTTCAGTGTGAGATAATCACATATCACAGGTGTCTGCCATTTTAAGAAAAACACCAAGTATTGGAAAGTTTGCAGTGCTGTTGTAGCGCTTGGCAGCAGTATTTGGTTTCTTTGACTGAGGCATCAGTTTGGGGCGACTAAACTGAAATTTTGGGTTTTCTTTGAGGCATCCTCATGTATGACTAATAGTTACTTTAATCCCAGAATTAATTGAAATAAAGTTTGTAAAAACAGTGTATTTTATCTACCCTGAGCCCTCCCTGTGAATTTTTCTCAGTCACTGTAGATAATGTCATTCTTGCACTTATTATGTGTGGAGATCAAACGAAGGTCCAAGCCGATGTTATAAGGTCATAAATAAAACAGTTCACCAGAACTACCTGGTAATAGCCAATGGCCTAAAATACAGAGCAAATTTGCACTTATGTTTTCATAGGTTCCACTGCTCTGCATCTAAAGGGTCAAAGGAGGCATTGTTTCATTTAAGGCTGTTTGTGGATCGTTTCTTCATTAATTTGTCCCATTATTTCTTGAGCAAATGTGGAATTTAGCATCCACAGCAAACTGTGGCAGATTTCGTCAACGTAACAGCATCTTGCATGGCAAAAGTGTTTTTTAGAGCTTAACATATCCTAATATGCTTTGTTGCTGCCTGCACTTGCATTAGCAAATACAGTGAAGAATTACTATCTAGTCTTCCTTTCTGTGCTTATCACCATTTTATAAAGATCAGAAGAAAATGCATCCTTAACACTTAAATCTGCAATCCATTCAAAAGATGCTGTCATATTGTTATAGCCTGGAACATTCTGTCACAACTGCGGAGCTTCGTGACAAAACCATATATTTTCTGTGTTGTAGTTCTGTGGGATGTTACAACTTCTGCATAACTTTTAAAAAAAAGTTACCTGACAGGCCATAAAATGGATTTTTGTTCTCTGAACAAACTACTGGGACATGAAATTATGACCTTTAGGAAGAAAATCTGGGTATTGCTTTGCCTTTAGAGTTATAGTCTATGACGTCTTAAGCATTTATTAATCATTTCCATCTGAGAGCATCTTATTTTTTTATCTTACTTAGAAAAGAAACAAAAACATTCAGCAAATAAGCTTCTTAGACTCATGGTGTTTTCCCCTAGCACTTTGGGATACTATTACACATGCTTGCGATTATCTACTCTGCAAACAATTGTCAGGAAACTTCAGCTGTTTTCCAAGTCCCACAGAAGAACAGATGTGGAATTAAATTTCAAACAATGTACTGTTAATCACGTACATGTGGACACAAAATGAACTCAGTGAGAACTGATTGGATGCTTTGTTAGCTGAGCATGGAGTGGAGAATTTGCACTTTTCTTAGTCTTCATTATCTGAACAGTTCTTTGAAAACAGTACTAATATATGGAAAGGATAAGGGTCTGGTTCAGATATTTAACTCCTAGACAGCGAAAACCACGGGGGACCACCTGAATGGAACTGAATTATATTATGTATATGAATACAAGTGATTGTATATGTATGTATAATTTTGTTTTATTTGAGAGCACTTTTGATGCTGTAAAGGATATTGAGGAGTAAAGTAGCTGCATATCATCAGTGTGCTTTCAAAAACAATTATTTAAACCAGCCAGCTTTGCCTGCAAGAGATTTTAAGTCCATGTTCAATTGCTGGAAAACCATAAGAAAGTAATTATGTCAGAAAACCTACTCATGCTGTGTTCTAAACCTCAGCCTTCCCTGGAAAAATCACTTAAAAAGGCAGTCCATACAGTTTTGAAAAGCTGTTTTTGGGGGAGAATGGATTAGTATTTAGAGACTCTGGAACTTAGAGCTTCAACTTTACATAATAATTATTCTGAATGAGTGCATTAGACAGTCATTGAGACTTAAGGAATTGTTGGGTTCTTGTTCTTGGAAATCTTTTTTTTCATTGGTAAGGAAACTTATGGAAAAAGGGTTCTTGATACTTGTTCTGAGTGTGATTGCCCTCACTGAAGTATGTATAGCTCTGGAAAAATAGTGCCTACTAGTAGGAGTCTGCATTTCCTGCTGCTGCAGAATTGAAACTGTTGTTAAATATGTAGCTTATATATATGTGATTATTTTCAGTTATTTGATCCCATGTAGCCTGGAAAAAATTTGCCTTCTTGAACCTACAAAATAAAAAAGGAGGGGGGGTGAAAAGAGAATATAATAAATTTACGGCTTCTTAAATTTGATGAACTTGATTAAGCAGACAAGATTATGGCTTGTTTCAGGGTTTATAGTAGTTCCTTGGAATTTTTTAAACCCCTTTAGAAGTTTTAAAATTAGCCCTATCATATTATATTGAAGGCTGTAAACTTGGCTGCCTGTGGTTTTTGGCTTGAAAATAACAGCGTTGCCCCACAAGCTTGAAATAGGGTATGAGGACATTAGTAGTGATGCATTTTCCTGCCTCCCAGGTTCTCCATCTAACTGCCTCACTGGCTGTTCCTTAACTACTTACCTTGCACGTTCATTGTTATGTTTATTCTGGTAGTAAGCAAATGCCCAAAGCCAATTAAAATGTTAATTCCTACTAAAATAGCAAATACAGTGTTGTGAGAGATGGAGAGAACAGAAGGAACTTTCAGAAATCTTTATATGTTCCATAGACATGTTGTCTCTTAGCTTGACTTCTGGAGAGATCTGTGAAGGTCATATCAGCGTTTATGTATTCTTTAAAAAAAATCTTTCATATGGATTTCCTGGGGCTGTTTTGCTTGTGCTCTGTGAAGTGACCAATTTTTTCCTTTTCTTTGTTTTTGGGGAGGTCTGCTTGACCTTAGTTTTTCATGTTTTCTTTCAAAATAACTTTCTTTCATGGATATTACTTTGTTTATATGCTTTGCCAAAGAAAAAAAGAGATAATAACATTCAAAATAAACATCTTTATACCCCCATGTCTTGTTTTTTAGCCTTTGTCTAGAATGACATAAGTGGCTAAGTATTTCATGTTCTTTAAAACATGACTTTGTGAATATAATTGATACGGACATTGTGTGCTCTACCAAGACTTAATAAGTGCAGTTATCTTCTGCCCTTAATAATCAAAAGCATGGGATACAGACAGTAGTTCTGTATGGTGCTAGTTAAGAAGAAACTGCATTTTTGATGTTTAATACTTTGAGAGTATTTTAAATGGGCTTAGAATGCATGTTTTGATTTAAACAGTGGGGTTTGGGATGGCCTTAAGCTGTTTAATATGTACTTTCTGGGGACCCCTGGTGGTCTAGTGGTTAGGATGCAGCACTCTCACCGCTGCGGCCCACGTTCGATTCCCAGTCAGGGAAACTCCCCCGGGCAGATGGAGCTCGTCAGCCCTGTAAGGCCATCCATCTAAGAGAAGGTCACTCTAAACAAACCTACGTCCTGAGGACCTCACTGCCACTGTCCAAGCTCGCTTGGCCCCAGCAGATGAACCTTAGGATTAAAGGGTGGGCTCAGTTCAGCGCACACTGTGTCTCACCTAAAAAATCCACTGCACAGGCTCGAAGGGTAAAGACCTTTCCCAAATCTTCATTCGCGAAGACGGGCCATACATGTACTTTCTAAGGGGTGATAGGAAGCTATGCTAATATACTTTAATTAATGTACAGATCTTTGGATGAGAAGGCCTTTGTAAGGGAGTTCGTTCCCTTGTTATTGCAGGCGGTCAGGTTGTGTGCAACTTGTTTCATCACGTCATGAGCCTTCAACTTAAAACTAGAAAGCTTTTTTTACCTCTGCTTTTGTTCTTGAAAGGCTATTGCAGACTCTTGCTCTTTCATATGGTTTAGCTGCATCTTAAGTGTGTTGACAGTCAATTCCCTGTTATTTTGTTCTTGCTGCAATGCTGACTTTCAATTTAAATATCTCTTCTTGCTAATTAGCTGCCTACAGTAATGGTAGGAAATAATTACACTTCATTTTTTGCCAACATTTTGTTAGGCTAAAGAAGACAAGACCTTATATCTTTTCTTAGCTCTCTTCCCTCGATCAGTACCATATTCCTTTCATGTTCTTAATCCAGTTTGGATGTCCTACTCTTCCCATCACTTATGGATTATAAGAATTCTTTGTAGTGTTCAAAGTAAAACCTCACTGCAGTCTTCAGTAACTGGTAAGACTGTCCTTTGGGTTGATGATAACTGATATAATCCAAGATTATACTGCCATTCATCACCTCCGTGTCATGTTAGAGGTATTGCCCAACAGGCTGAAGGTAAGTTGTGAGATACTTCTGAACGTTTTCCTCTTCTCAAAACAATATAAACATATTAAACAACCATTCTTTAGGAATTCAATCTACCAGTAAACTTTAAAACTGACTCTGGTGAAGAATACCACCTACACTGTAAGTATGGTGTCTGGTTATTTTTTTCTTTTCTAATGAATTGTTTTAATTTAGAAAGTTATTGTTTAATGAGAAGTATTTGGTAGGAAGGCACAGGGGTTTTTTTAAAGTTATAGAACAAGCCCAAGTTAAGTGAACTCATTCCTATCACCATCTCAGTTTTGCAACTGGAGACATAAGGAAAGCAAAGAATCTTCCTTCACTCCTACTGTTGTTGATAAAAGTTAAAGGAGAAGACATCAAAAAGGTTTTGCAGCAGACTTAAAAGTTTGGGTGAGGCAAACACTGTCTCATGAGTTTCAGAAAATAATCTCAAAACTGATATGAACAGTCTTGTTCATAGGGAATATCTCATATTCCCTACTTTTGGGAATGTGAAGGTTAGTGAGTGGTAGAAGCGGGAAGCTTAAGAATGCATATTCAGGGGAAATATTTCTGATTAAAAATTACATTCAGTTACTTGGAGTTGAATTACACAGGTTGGAAGAGACTGAAGGAAACGGTCATTTTTACCCTCAACTGGGGAAGAGGAATAAAAAAAATTGAGTACTCTTCTCCACCTTGCACTTCCTATTTGAACTGAATCCTTCATGGATTATTCTGTAAGCCTATTTTTTTGAGCCTGAAGTTGACCTATGACACTCCAGCCTTGCAAGTACCTTTATACAGGAAATGGTAAAGGTAACAATCAGTATGTCGTTTTAAAGAATTAATATAATCTTGAAAGGGAGAGGAAAAGCAGGAACTGACTGCTCTTTTTGCCTTATGAATCAGGAGACCCTTTTAAAAGTGATTCTTCTCTTTGTGTGTGTATCTGTATGTAGAGACAATCTTTCATAATCTTCTTTTAGGTAGTAAAAAGAATAGGTCTAGGGAAAATAAAGTAAAAGGTAATCACTAGGAGCTCATTCTTGTTGAGAATCTATATCTCAGTTTTACTTCAAATGGATTTTGAATAATAATTTAAACAATGAATGAATTTAAAGAATATTTAGAATTTCTTACAAAATATGTGCTGTGACAGTCTTCAAAAAGGACATTATAAGCTTCAGGAAAAGCTAAACCCAGACTTTATACTCCTTGTATTACCAGGACATTTTCTTAAAAGATCGTTTCTCTAGCAGCTTTTAAGTAAATTTGCTCCAGAAAAAGCTTAAAATGAAAAAAATTAGAAAGGCAAAGGAAAGCATCTTTGTAGTATACAAAACCAAAATTAACATATTTCTTAGTTGCTGTACAATTCTCACCATTCCTGGGGCTAGCTGATTCTTCCATCTGCAAACTGAGTCTGCTTTTTAGCTTTTACCAAGCAGTGGGTAGCCCATTTCCTCTTCCTTGGGTTAGCATCAGAGGAGTGTCTCTTTGTGGGTTTGTGAGCTTGTGTCGGAAAAGTGTCCTGGATGGAGATGCCTCAGGACTTTCAGAGCTCTGTAGAAACAGCAAGATGTTCTCCAGAGCTGGAAAACTGAACAAATGAGACTTGAGTAAGGATTTTCATTTTTATAACATGGTTTCACTGACATGCTCAACAAGGCACGTGGAAAGTTGCTCAGGGTCTCATCTTTATTGAATTTTACTTACAATGGTTTTGGATTTTGGATTTTGTTTTTTAAGACTGAAAATGGATTCTGAGACATGATCTGGAGAGGAACAGAATACAATTTAA